GCTGCTGCATCTCAGGCATAACCACCTGGGGAACCTGTGAAGGAGCAAGGAAAGAGCCAGGAGTGGAATCTGGGAACCACCTACCTTTAAGGCAGGGACTTATGAAAAGGAGCTCCCAAAAAACATTGAGTCACATTAGACAGAGGTGGGAGGAGAACTGGGAGGTGCTGACCTCATGAGCCAAGAGAGGAGGGAGCTTGAAAAGCCAGGAGAGGTTCAAGGTGGTCAGAGCTGAAACACACACTGGGACTTGAGCAGCACGGAACTGGCTGGTGACCTACCTGGGTGAGGGTGCTTTCAGGCAAGGGCTGGGTGATGAGAGGAGAAGACAGAGACCTGGGAGAAAAGACACTTCTTCCAAGATGTTTGGCATTGGAAGTGGGGAGCACAAGAGGTTGTTGGCTAGAAGAGAGGAAAGCTTGTTCCTCTAGAAACAAATCTGAACCTAGTTTTACAGAAAGAGACCAAAAATTCCACAAATTAGGTTTACTAAATGGCCAGGAATAGTTCATCTTTGTTAAAGGGGATGAGATAAAGCCATGGACTTTTTTTTGGTTCTACCTTTCATCATGTCTGAACAGTCAGGTAAGAATTTCTCTTAATTGCTGAGACCAAATTTTAGACTTGCAACAATGCTGTTGCTCTGGTTATTTATTCAAGTAATGACTAAATTTATTTGGAATTATGATTCCAGATTGTGAAACCTGGTACAATGTAAAAAATCCAGAATAAGGAGGATTAAAAAAAAAAAGAAGATGAAACAGTAGCCAAAAGAAAACTACATTGATGTACTGAACAACCTAGCTTTTATCACTCTGTAAAAAACAATGAAATATTGAACTCTAGGTAACTGATAGAATCCCAAAGAACAGATTAAATTTCTTCTACATTTATGATGGAATTCAGACTAAAAATTACTTTTGATTTGTCATTTTGCTTTATCAAATCTTAGAGAGAATTCAGATATTGGCACCTATCACTGGCCCTTATTACTCAAGGTAAGAGTATTATGTTTAGATTTGTGGGCCTCTGGGCTGTAACTATAACATTGTCAAGGTAGATTACCAGGTGTTGCATAATTATTGTGACATTTAGTCTTTAAGTAAGGAAATCTGTATTTCAGTATAAACATTTGTATTTAATTTTGGGGGGAGGAGAAGAAAGACTTGGGACCTCTGATTAAATCAACTTGCCTAACAGCCTTTGGGAATAAAGATCATATTCAGAGATTTTAAAACACCTACATAATTAATTGTAAAAAGAACAAAAACAAAAAACAAAAAAAAAAAACTTTCACCAAATTGGGAAGCAAGTAAAAAATGTCCAAGTTAGGAAAACCCGAAACCATGAAAAGGGTATTGACAAATGAAACTTCCTTAAGTTGCTTTCATGGCAGGGAGTAATTGTCTCAAGGTAAAAGCTCATCCCATGCATTCTAGAAAATTCCCAGATCAATTCATTTCACTAAAGACTATTCATTGTTTTTGATTAACCAGCATTTAAAAATACTTGTCAAAACAGATTAGAAATGAAAGCATTTGCCTTGAACAAATATATATATTGGTCTTATAGATGAGAAATAGCGTTGGTTTTGCTGAATTTCAACAGTCACCCATATAAAGGGTCTCTGGTCTGGGAAACATATCTTTATTCCCAAATACTTGGTCTTCAGTATTTGAGATCTGCAAAAGCAGTATTTCTATCTGTTAAGATTTTTCCATGGTTGAGGATGCACCTGGGGGGAAAAAAACACAAGCTGCAGGAGCATCTGTGACCTGTGCTTTTCCCAAAGGGAGTTTTGGGAACTTCTGTCTCTGAAGGGGAAAGAGTAAGCAGGAGGGGGATAAAGAGGAGGGAGAATAAGCTGTGAGACAGATGGTTACATTCTGATTAGGCTCTGATTAGCCTCAGTAAATCTACATTTTACATGTGAAAAGAGGGGATAGAGGGAAAAGTCAATTATGCATTCTCTCACACTCAGTAAATCTACATTTTACATAAGATAAACAGTGTGAAAAGAGGGAGCAGAGGAAATGAAATTATGATATAGGAATGTGAAATTACAGCTAACTGGGAACAAAAGGAAGACAGCATTGGTGACTCCGTTCCCAAGCTTAACGTTCTCTTTGGCATAATGAGTTTGGAGTTCCAAGATTCAATTTCTTTTACAATTTGAACATTTAAGGATTTTTTTTAAAATTTGGTTGGCATCTCATTCCATCGCCCAGGCTGGAGTGTAATGGCATGCTCACGGTCACCCCAGTGTTGATCTTCTGGCCTCAGGCGATCCTTCCGCCTCAGCCTTCCAAGTAGCTGGAACTACAGACGTGCTACCATGCCTAGTTAATTTTTTATTTATTGTAGAGACAAGGTCTCATGGAAGTTGCCCGGGCTGGTCTCAAATCTACAGGCTCAGGCAATCTACTCACCTCGGCCTCCCAAAGTGCTAGGATTACAGGCTGAGCCATCGAGCCCCCCCTAAATTTTAATTATTCAAATTTGGAATGAAGTGTGTGTGTTTGTAGGAGAGGGGTGCTGTGGCCATCATTTTATAAATTATGTCCTGAATGGAACAAATGGATTTATAGAAAGAGGAACTCTGGACTCAAGTTCAACTCCTACTTGCAGGTCAAGGTGACTCACTTGAGCATCTTCAGGCCAATGTACCCACGGAAAGAGACTGACTCCTCACTGGCTATTTTGCAAGATGCTTAAAACCCATGCATTTAAAAACCTTCCATTTTTGCAGTTGTAAGTGAAAGCTGAGTTTTAAGCACAAAGGAAAAAGCATCCTATGTGGTGAGAAAAAAATTGACATAAGAATTTCTCAGAAAGAACTTAGTGGGTTTTAATAAATTACTGGAAGTTATTCTTGAATGACTGAATTCATTGTCCAAAGACTCAAAGTGAGAAGTTGGAATTTCCCACTCTGCCACATACTGCGAGATCACAGGCACAATTTTCAAAATAATTGCTATTGTCAGCCCCAGCACCAAAAAGGGGTAGAGATTTTATAGTTTCTCTTCAGTGAACTAAAATCTTAGCTGCTTTTGTTTTGATTTACATTTCCCTGGTTAGTGCTGTTTGTTAAAGCTGGTGCTAGCAGACTTGGCTAGGTGCCAGATGTCTGGAGCAAGACAAGCTTGTTTCTGTGCAGGGAGACACTGATGTTGGCTGCTGCCCTCCTCCTCTTCCTCCTGAGGGCAGTTATGTTTTGTTAAGGTGCTCACCCTCTTGGCTGTGTGTTCAGGCTTTTAAATGTTCTACCCTACAAGGCAGATGGGGGCAGAGGGTGATGTAGAGACTGGTCCTCAGTCTCTAGGGCCAATCAAGGTAATTCTGTCTCCTTTGTCTATAATAGATTTGGTGCAAAACCCACCTTCTAAAGGGCAGCTGGCCTCTTCTATGGACAGAAATATTTTAGCCTTGACCCCCTTCCAATTATGACAGTCCAAGGCCAACACCAGCCACACTATTTCACACAATTCCCCCAGATCCTTCCCTTTCATACATCAAGGCCTGGCTTCAAGTCCTTATGATGGGTGGCAGGCATGGAGCTCTTTGAGAAAATCCCGACTCAGGCTTTTGCTGAAAAACCCTCCCCTGAGGGAGCGAAGGTGATCATACACCTGGGTAGAGTAGAGCTGAGCACAGGTGATGGCAGAACCAGAGGGGGGAGGTGAAAGCTGCTGGTGACTTTATTGTCATGTCTTCATTGCCATTCTTCTAAAACCACACCACAGAATCCTCTCCGCCATGGAAAGTGTTCAGAGGACACTGACTTGGTTATCTATTTCACCTCTAGAAACTTCTTTGAGCAGCTGCCAGTAACCTTTACCAGTTTTAAAAGAAAATTGTTCATAAAAGCTAATTACTTGTATTTGAATATCTTTGTGATTGTTTTTTTAGTTGCCTCAACAGAATGTATTGTTACGTACAACAAATATATTAGTGTATACTATATACAACAGATACATATATATCCTATATACAGCAGATATATACCTAATCTTACACACACACACACACACACACACACACACACACACACACGGAGTTTTGTTTATAACTTTCCTCCCCACCTTACTACCCTGAACCTTATAATAAGCTCATTCATTTGTAACTCCACTTGGCTGCATGGTGTCTTAGTCAATGCAGTTGCTTTCCTGAGTAAAAGGAAGGAGGGAAGTTGGAATGGCATTGAGAGAAAACTGGTTGTGCAGGGGACACAGCACTAGAAATGTAAAACCAGTAAAGCGTCACAGACTGTTTACTGTTTACTGTGAGAAATGTTTACCGTGTGGATGTCCCCAGCCAGAGCACCGGTCAAGCCTTCTGCCCTTTATAAAGAAACCTTAGTGCTTTGTCTACGATTAAATAGATGCCTGGTAAGAAAGGAAAAACTGGTCTGGGGATAATTTCTCAGGCGTGGCGATTGCACGGTTGCACAAACATCACCTCGTCAATTTTTCTCACAATCGAGAGAGGAAGTGGCATCCATCGTGGCATGAATAGGAATGTGTGTTTGGAGCCGCGGGGTGGGGTTGGGAAGAGAGGAGACTCTTCCGCGCCATCCAAGGAGACTGCGGGGTGCGGAAAACCTCCGGAAGGAGCCTGCGGCGCGGTCCCTTCCCGCGTTCCCGGGGCGGCGGTGCCTGCCCCGGGCTTGGTGCGCTCCGGAACCGCGGGGAAGGCGCAATTCCCGTCTCCAGGAGGAGAAGCTATCGACACCCGCAGCCACCACGCCAGTCCCCTCGGGTGTCTACACCAGGCGCACTGTCAGCGTCTACGCACACACCTTCCCTGCCCGGGGGGCGACTCCCACGCCCCGGGCCCTCTCCGCTGCAGGCGCCAGATCTCACCTCCCGGGGCTGGGCCGAGAGGATCCTCCGCGGCGTCTTTAAGGCTGCGGTCCCCGCCCCGCCTTCCTCCCCGCC